GGGCTCCGTTCATCACCCCCCCCCCCGCTGGACGCAGAGCCCACAGCCCCACAGCTGCGTCCATAAATCCTTTATCCGCCCCTCAATCCCGTCTCTCCAAAAAGCCGCTCACTGCATCAGCTCCCGCTTCCTCCTGCCTTCCAGCTCCTCCTGCATCTCGTCGGCCTTCTGCCTCTCCACCTCCATCATCCTGGCCAGGCGTTTCTCCTCCTCCTCCAGCTCTCTGCCTATCTGCCGCTTCTCCAGGATCTGCGTGTCGCGGATCATGTGGCATTTCACCCCCAGGAGCAGCTGTGGGGACAAGGGGCGTCCTGGGCTCGGCGGATGGGGACAGAGAGCAGGAGGTGGAAAAGGGAAGGAGAAGACGACTGAGCGGCAGCAGGCAGCGCTCACAGCTCGTCCTCAGCGCCCCGTGGGGCCCAGGGCACCTCGTGCCACCGTCTCCTGTGATGCAGGGGAGGAGGACGGGACCCCCTGGCCTCACCTCACTGAACTCCTTGATCTCATCCTCCTGCTCCATGCGCATCCTGTTCGCCCGCTGCAGGAGGTGCTGGGCGCGTTCCTTCGCCTCCTCCTCCAGCTCGCTCGGCTTGCTCTGCTGCAGGAGGGTTTGTCGCTTTGCTGCTGCCTTCCGCTCGTTCATGGCCTCCTAAGGGGACAGGGGGAGAGCTGAGCCACCAACCTGCAGCCCTGGGCCACCATCCGTCATCCTGGGCCACCATCCTGCACTGCTGGGCCACCAACCTGCGCTGCTGGGCCACCAGACTGAACCCTGAGCCACCAGACTGAAACCTGAGCCACCATCCTGACCCCTGGCTCACCACCCTCCACCTTCTGGTTCACCATCCTGCATCCCTGTACCCCATGCTCTCATCCTGAACCCTTCACTACCATCCTTCACCCTTGGGCCACCACCCTGCATAACCCCTGGGCTCCCACCCCGCACCCCCCGGGCCCAAATCCCTCTCCTTTCTAAAGGAGACGCCCCACAGAGGTGCACTGGGGAGCTGTGGGGTGCAGCCCACGCAGCACTGCAAACTTTGGGACCCCCCACAGCCCCTCCTGGGCTCAGAGGGTTGGAGAGATGCAGGGTTTGAAGGCGGGCACCGCAATCCGGGGGGGGTGCAGGGTGCTTGTCCCACCCTATGGGTGCCCCCACGGCATGAAGGGTGGGCAGGGGGGGTGCCTACGAGCTCTGCCTCCCTCTGTGCTTTCAGGGCTGCCAGCTCAGCTTCACGCTGCTCCTTGCTCTGCACTCGGGACGACTCCTGGATGCGCTGGAAGTCCTGCAGGCCGATGATGAGGGCCGGTGTCGGCTTCTCTGAGGGGACGCTGAGACAGGAGGGCGCACAGCACAGCAATCAGTGCTGCTGGGGGTCCCTTCGCCCCCCTCCCAGCTCACCCCCAAACCCTCCTGTTGTGCTGATGGCACTGCGGTGCCACCTCAGCGCTGTGACATCCCTGTCCCGAGCGGAGAGGGACGGCAGCTGGGCGACGGGGGGAACCCACAGCGCCCCACACGCAGCACCCAAAGAGCTTGGGGCCAAGCCAGCCCCACGGCTGCCACTGGGGGGATGGAAGTGAGCCGAGCTGCGCCCCCCCCCGAGCTTCAAGCCCGGAGATCCAGGGCTGCAGCACTGCTGGATGGAATGAGTTCGGTGTGGGGGGAGGACGCAGCTCTGCCCCACGGTGACTCAGCCTCGGAGGAAACCACCTCAGTGCCCCCATTTCCCCACGTGTCAAAAATGTGGGTAATGACACAGGGCTGGGTTTGGTTGCGTTTTGTTTTTTATTTATTTCCAGGTGAGTTGTGAGGAGTTTTAATTACTGGCAGCGTTGCTCAGCCGCAGCTCGGCGACGCGTGCGGTGCATTAACCAAACTCACGGGGAGCTTTGAAGGCTCTGGGGACTAAGGATGCAGTCACTGTCATTATGTGTCACCTTTTCATCCACCCTTGGGACAGATACCTGCATAATAAGTGGCCCAGCATCACAGCATCGGATTCCAGGACGCTTTAAAGAATGGGCAGTGGCACCGACGGCCCTAATCAACGGTGTGACGCAGCCACCGCAGCCCTGAGCCGTCTGTGTTTGGGTGCCCAACCTGCACCCCGATTTTTAGGAATGGAAATGGAACCCAAACGCTTCCAGGTGGAGCCACGTGGGGGAAACGCGGGCAGCGGGCCCAAAACCTGGGGCTCCGAGCGCGGCAGCCTCAGCCCAGCCTGAAACCAAAGGGCTGCGGTGCGTCCTTGTGGGGTGGAAGCAGGGAGAGGTGAAGCGAGGGGGGGGAAAAAAAGGGGGGGGAAGGTCAAAATGAGGCTCCGTGGGGTTCGCCCGGCATAATGGCACCAAACCCCTGCGGCTTTTTAATGAGGGGATGTAATTAAAGCCGGGTTCCGACTGCTCGACCTCGTGCACAAACAGCCGCGCGCCCAGGGAGGGGGAATCGCTGCTGCCTGGGGGTGTTTGGCACCTGGGGGGGGGGACGGGGGGTTGTTTGAGGAGGGGCTGAGGGGGGTTTGTGGGGTCTGTGAGGGCGTTTGGGGGGGGGCGCGACTCACACGAGGCTGCGGATGAGGCCGTTGCCGAGCAGACGGATGGTTTCGGGGCGGTGCTGAGCGCCGGGCGCTGATTTTGGAGAGCTGCGCGCATCCCGTAGGAGCACAACGGGGCCGTGAGGCTGCAAGGAAAAACCCCAAAGCGGGGATCCCAAAGCTGGGGGGGGGGGGGGGAACCGATGCAAAAACCCCGACGCGGCGCCGTGAGACCGCAGCAGTAAAACAGACGGGGGGGGCAGAAATCCCCCCAAAGTGCCCCCAGATGTCAGGAAACCCCACACCGGGTCCCGCTCCGCCTCCTCCCGCTTCTCCCGGCGCAGCAGCGCCGCCGAGGTCCCCGCGCTCGAGGTGCCACCGCCATCTAGCGAAGCCATGCGCTATGGTCTATGGGGAGGATCCCCAACCACCCCCCATTCCGTGCGCTTGGAGGTGGGGCTGTTTGTTCCACCGCCTCCTCGGGGAGGGATGTGAGGCCACAGCCGGGTTAAAAGGGACCCTAAAGATCCCAGAGCCACGGGATCGCAGCGCGGCGGGGGCGGAAGGGACCCCAAATATCACAGAGCCGTGGGATCCCCATACAGCTGGGTTGGGAGGGACCCCAAACCCCCCCTTGCCACGGGCTGCGTGCTTCCCATCAGCTCAGGTCGCCCACAGCCCCTCCACGGCCTCCGGCTCCAAGGCTGCGGCTCCCACAGCTCTGCGAGGAACTCTCTGAATACTGAATTTCCTCCTAAAATCTGTGGGTCCAGAAGCAGCCCTGTGCCCAACCCCACACCCCGCAGTGGGGCTCAACCCCATGGGCCGGGCCGGGCAGTTGGGTGCCCTCAGGGTTCATTTCTCATCCATCACCGTTATCAGCTGCGTGTTTAATGACAGGGCTGGGCTGCACTGCCAGCAGATAACGGCTGCCTTCAGCACCGCCAGCCTCAGAGCCTGGAGAACGGGACGGGATCCGCCTCCAAGAACCCAATTAATGATTGTAGGAATGTTGTCAGGCTGTGACAACTGCACGGAGCAGCTGCTGGGGATGGAGCCCAGAGCTGAGGCGGCCGTTGTGACGTCGTCTTTCCTTCCTCTCCTTGAAAAGAGCCATTTCTTGCTGCTGTTTTTTGGCAGGAGGTCTGGCTTGCAGTGCTGATGGGGGGAAGGGGGGGGGGGGCAGAACCTCCATAGGGATCCCAATGGGGTGGAACTGGGGACACGGGGCGGCACCCAGAGCTGCAGCCTTGGAGCTGAAGGGCGTTGGGTGCCATAAAGCTGTGCTATGGGGCCATAGGGCGCAGGTTGGGGGCAAACACTGCTGGGGTTGGTGGCTGTGTGCCCCCTCCCCCCCCAAAAGAAACAAAACAAACACAGGCCTTCCCTACAGCAAAGCCCAAAGTGCTGAAGGGGTGTTCAGCCCCTCCGGCCCACAATGAAGGGGTTGGCCCAGGCCTGGGGAGCGGGGGGAAAGTCCCAGGCCCACGTGTGGAGGGCGGGGGGGGGAGGGGTCCCAGGCCCATTGTTTGGGGTCGAGGCCTGGGGGGGTTTCCAGGTCCAAGGAGGTGGGAGAAGCCCCAACGTCCCCCCTTACCCCAAACAGGCTCTCATCCACCTCGGTGCTCCGTGCCCGTCTCCGTAAGCGGCTGGAGGGCTGCATGGAGCCGGGGGGGTTGGCGGGGGTCCCGTTGAGGCCCTGCAGGCCGCGGGCGGCGCTCGCCATCCCGGTCCGCCGCTCCGTCTCCATAGCAACGGCAGCGCGCGTTTTCATGGCAACGAGACGCGCGGGGGGTGGGGCCGGCGCGGAGGGGCCGCTCTAGGCAGCTCGGAGCCGACTCGATGGTCGCTGGGGGGTGTTCGGCCCCTGCTGCGCCCGCGTGGCTCTGGAGGCGTCATCTCCACGCGTGGCTCCGGCTGTCCCCATCCCGTCCCCATCCCGTCCCCATCCCATCCCCCTCCCCGCGCGTTCCCAGACGCGTCTCCACGCCTGGGTCCCATTCGTGTCCCTTTCCCGTTTGTCCCCATTTGCGCCCTCCCATCACCCTCTCTCTGTGTTCCCAGTCGTGTCCCCGTATCTGAGTGTCCCATTCCCCACGCGTGTCCCCACCTCCCCCATCCACGTGGGGTTCAGCATCGCCTCACCCGCCCTGCAAGCCCCGCCCGCTTCCTCTTAGCCCCGCCCCCTTCCTCTTAGCCCCGCCCCTCCACGTGCTCACCCACCACCACATTCGAAGCTCAGGGCTGCTCCCCTTTGATTGGGTTCCTTGGGGTGGAGATGGGGGGGTTTCCTCCCCTATTCTCCTCATTACCACCAGACCCCCCCCACCCCACACCTGAACCCCCCCATTGCCTCTTACTTACCCCAAGAGCCATTGGGCCCCACACCTGTGGGGACAGCCCCCAGCCCACCCGACCCCAACCCCTACCCCCCCTCCCCAGCCCCCCAACCACTCTCACTCCTTATAAACAAGAAGGGGCCATTTATTGGGGCGAGAGCCACTGAGGAGGGGGGGGGGGGGCTCTCCCCAGCACGGCCCCCCCCCAAGGCACAGCGGTGTTGGGATGAGAGGGAGGGGGGGATCGGGATGCGGAGACAAAATAATTATTATAAAAAAAAAACAACACAGATTTTGGTCCTGGCGGGTGGGCACAGCCCCGGTTGGTCCATAGGGGGTCCATGGGGTGGTCCATGGGGGGGGTCCATGGGGTGGTCCATGGGGGGGGGTCCATGGGGTGGTCCATAGGGGGGTCCATGGGGAAGAGCGATGCGCTTTGGGGACCCCCCCAGCCCCATGGAAGCTTTGGGGTCGGGGTGGGGGGGGGTTGGGGGGCCGTTCAGAGGATCTGTCGGGGCATCCCATAGCCGGTCATGCCCGCCTGCGAGGCGCCGCGGTTGGTGCCCATCTGCAGCCCGATGACGCTCTGCCCCTCCTTCAGTTTATCCTCCGAGAAGACGCGGCGGTTCTCCTGTGATTTCCTACGGCCACCACCATGGGAATCAACCCCCATCCATCACCCCCCACCCCCCTGTGCCCCCCCCCAGGTTCCCCCATCACCTACTTAGGGAACCAGTTGGGGTCTCCCACGAAGAGCCCATCGCCTTTGGCCACCGCCAAGCTGCCCAGGTTCATCAGCGTCCTCTGCACGCACGCCATGTTCTTCCCTGCGTGGTGCCAACGTGGTGTCACCCCCTGTGTCACCCTTTGGGGACATCTGGGTGTCACCCCATCGTCCCCAACCCTCACCTTCCCACAGATCCACCGTCTGGAAGATGTCGGTGGCGGCGATGCCGTAACGCTCAGCTGCCTGCAGGAACTGGGAGATCTGCTCCATCTGCTTGAAGGCCATGGAGGATGCCTGGATTTTGGCCACCGGCGCTTGGCCCCGAGGATAGAGGCTGTTGATGAGGCGGCACAGGACCTGGTGGCATCAGCGGTGACAAAAACAGGGTCGTGGTGGCACCGCGATGAGCCCAACATCGGTGAGGGGACACCAGGAGCATCCCAAAGCAACGGCACCACGATGACCCCAATGTCAGAGAAGGGGACACCAGGAACCACCCCCCTATGAGGCACCATAACCTCCCCCCTCTGGTAGCACCGCAATAAGCCCAATATTAGGGGACACCGACATGACGGCACCACGATGTTTGGTGAGGGGACACCAAAACGACCTCAATATGGCGCCACGGTGACCCCAACATCAGCTGAGGGGACACCATGACCTCCCCAAGGCAACGGCACCACGGTGACCCCAAGGTCGGATGAGGGCTCACAAAACCACCCCGAAACCACGGCACTCAGGGAAGGGAACACGGCGACCACCCCAACATCAACCGAGGGGACGCCACGACCCCCCCTGAAGCCCCTTCACCGCAAAGCGAGGCGACACCACGACCCCTCGCCCCCCCAGGTCGCCACCATGGAGGACTCACGGTGCCGTCCTTGAGCCACTGCTGGAAGCCATCGCGCCCAGGCGTGGGCTGGGGGATGTCGTCTCCGCACTGCCCCACCATCCAGCGCACCAACAGCTGCTCCAGCTCGGGGTCGTACTGACGGTCGATCTTCTGCTGCACCTCCCGGCTCAGCCCATACGATGGTCCCCTGTTGGCCATGCCTGCGGGGACGCTGTGTGTCACCCATCCTCCCCTGGGGACGCGGTGACACCTCCTGGCGCTGCCCTTTCCCCTGGGATGTCTGTCTGTCTGTCTGTCTGTCTCTGTTTGGACCCTTATCGCCCGTGCCAGGCGCTCCCTGCTTCCTGCCCGGTGCCGTGGTGACAGCATTGGGGCACACGGCCCCTCCTTGGAGTCCCCACGCTTTACCATCCCAATGGTGGCACCCTCCCTGTGCCCACCCAACCCTAAACCTCACCCTAAAACCCCAACCACCAGCCCCATCCAAAGGTCCCCAAAGGTGCCAGTGATGGCACCCCCCTGTGCCCACCCAACCCCAACCCTAAACCCCAACCTCCAACCCCATCCAAAGGTCCCCCTGGGGTCCCCCCCATTGCCATGCCAATGGTGGCACCCCCTCTGTGCCCACCCAATCCTAAAACTCACCCTAAAACCCCAACCACCAGCCCCATCCAAAGGTCCCCAAAGGTGCCAGTGATGGCACCCCCCTGTGCCCACCCAACCCCAACCCTAAACCCCAACCACCAGCCCCATCCAAAGGTCCCCCTGGGGTCACCCCATATTGCCATGCCAATGGTGGCACCCCCCCTGTGCCCACCCAACCCTAAATCTCACCCTAAACCCTCACCACCAACCCCATCCAAAGGTCCCCAAAGGTGCCAGTGATGGCACCCCCCCCCATGCCCACCCAACCCCAACCCTAAACCCCAACCTCCAACCCCATCCAAAGGTCCCCCTGGGGTCCCCCCCCATTGCCACCCCGATGGCAGCACCACTCCATACCCACCCAACCCTAAACTCCATCCCGAGCCCCAAACGCCTCAAACTTAAACCTCAACCACCAACTCAAACCCCAAAAACCCCAGCCCTGAACCGAACCACCAACCCTAAACCCCAACCCTCAACCCTCAACCAAACCCCCTGACCCCAACCCCAAACCACCCGCCCCAAACCCCAGCTGGGTTCCCCCATTGTGTTGGCTCGGGTTTTTTGGCAGCCGCTCATTGAATGTTTGCAAAACTGCACCCGTTTGTATGGGATCGGATCCAGATCCGGGAGCTGCCCTGGGAGCCCCACACCGCAAACCCCAGCAGCCCCACACGCCCCAGGAATGGCGCCTGGCTCCCATCCTACAGGGCGCTATGGGGTGCGGAGCCCTGGGGTCCCCAAGGCTGGGTGACAGCATCCCAATGCTGCCCATATCGGGGTGCTCCCGACACCCTACAGCCATTGGGCGGCATTTGGGGTTCTGCGTTCTGCATTGCTGCCCCCAAAAGTCCTCCTGGGGGGGGGGGGAACTCATGGCTGGGCTGAGCCTGGGCCCCACTGCACGTCCCCAGATGTGGGGGGACCCCGATGTCACCCAGGTACCCCAACCTTGAGGTCACCCCAACGGCACCGGGGAACCCCAGTGTCACTTGGGCATCCCAACGTGGCTGGGATCAGCCCAGCACCTTGAGGTCACCCCACATCACCGGCTCACCCCAATGCCAACAAAGTACCCCGATACCTTGGGGTCACCCCAACCTTGAGGTCACCCCCATGTCACCAAGGCGTCCCAACACCACCAGGGTCACCCCGACACCATTAAGGCGCCCCAATGCCACCGTGGGCATCCCAGCACCTTCGGGTCACCCCCCAACACCACCTTAATGCCATCAGGGTCACCCCAGTATCACTGGGACGCCTCAGGTCCACCAAGGTACCCCAATGCCACTGAGGTGCCCCCAACCTCGAGGTCACCCCGACGTCACCAGGGTGCCCCAAAACCTTAAAACACTCCAAGCTGGAAATCACCCAATGCCACCAAAGGCACCCAAAGGGCTCCCAGCGCCGTCGCAGGGGGGTGTTAAGGTGCTCCCCAGGACCCGAAGCCAATGGGTGGGGAATGAAGCTGTCTGGAGTGAGGGGGGGGGAAGGAAGGGGGTCATCGCAGACCCCCACTGCCACCCCATTGTCACCCTTGGGTCTGGCGGTGCCCAAAATGGGTGAGGAATCGCCATGCTGGGGGGCACAGAGGGGTGGGGAGGGGGGGGGCCCAGACGACACAGACACTGCAGGGGGGGGCAATGAGGAGGGGTCGGAAAGGAAGGGGGCAATGAGGAGGGGGCGCCAGCCGACCCTGAGCGCACAGAGCCACCACGAGGGGAGGGGGAAGGACCCAAATGGGGAGGAGACCCCCGGGTGGTGCGCAAGGAGCGCACGCGGTGCCCGTGGGGGGTGGGACAACGGGACGCGGTGGGATCCCGGCGGTGGGAGCCTCGGATGGGCGACGGGGGACCCCCGGGACACCGGGGGGGGGGTCAGCAGCGCTCCTGCAGCCGCTCCCCCTCCCCTCCACCCCCCCGCCCCGGGGCTGCGGGGCCGGAAGCCGCACCCAGCTCCGCTCCCGTTGCCGCTCCCGGGCGCGGTGCCGTTACCCCGCAGCGGCTCCGGGGCAGCTCGGAACCGCCGTTATGGATCGGAACAACGGAGGCTGAACGAACCGAAGACCCCGAGCCGGAGACCCCATCCCGGTTCCCCCCCCCCCCCCCCCCTCCCTCCCCCTCCCCATACACACAAACCCCTCCTTCGTGCCCACCCCCATCTCTCCCGGTCCCCACCCCCCTCCCACCCCCCAGCCGGCGCCCCCCGCCCCGTTCGGTACCTGCGGTTCCGATCCCGGTCCCGGTGCGGTCCCGCAGTGGCGGATGCCGCCGCCCGCGCCCTTTTCACGGCTGATGTCACCGCGGAGGGGCGGCAACGGCACCGCCCGACCCCGGGGCGGACCCGAACCGCTGGGACTGGGGAGAACCGCACCGCCCCGATGGGACGGGGGGGCACTTGGACGGGGGGGGGGAAACGATAAGACGTGGGGGTGTGATAGGCGATAGTTGCGATAAAGCGGCCGTGAGGGGACGGGGTGCCAATGGGGGGGGGGGGCTGGGGTGGCCGAGGTGACAATGGAGCGGCTGGAGGGGAGAAGGGGAGACGGAGGGGGGGGGGTTTGGTGGTCCGTGGTGAGGATGGAGGGGATGCAATGGGGGCAGTGGTGGGGATAGGGGCGATAAGGGGGGGCTGGGGGGGGTAAGGGATGGGAGGGGGGGGGTTGGGGGGGTTTGGGACACAATGGCTGCGATGGCCTTTGGGGGGGGGAGGGGGGCTGTGATGGGGATGGGGGGGGCAGGAGTGGTGATGGGTGGGGATGGGGATGGGGTGGCTCTGATGGCAGAGCTGTGGTGGCAGCGATGGTGGCACAGCCTGCTGGGGGGGGGGAGGGGGGGGGAGGGATTGGGGGGTTACGTGGGGGGCTGCAGAGCCGCAATGTCCCCAACCCTGGCGGTGTCCCCATGGGTGGGGAGGGCCGGTGGCAGCCGCCCAAGCGCCGTCTCTATGGGGAACGGCAGCAAAACAACAAAACACAACCTCGGCACCAGGCCACCGCCGCCTCCGGATCGCTGTCCCCGCGTCCCCAACCCCCCCCCCCCCACCTCAAGAACTTCTTTCCTTCCCCCCTCCTCCCCCTCCCCCCCCCCCCCACTGTCACCCCTGATCTCAGGAGCGGCATCACACGGATGGTGGCACGGTGGGGATCGACCCTGAGGTGCCACCCCCCCAAGTTGGTGTCACCCTGAGGTGCCACGTGGCCGGATCCTCTCTTGGAGGTGGGCGTCCCCTGGGGATCCCCCTTTACCCCCCCCCCTCCCCCCCCGGCCTTCCCCGGGGGGTTTCCGGTGCTGGGGGGGGGGGGGAGGGGGAGGAGGGGACAGGGGCAGGAAGAGGCACGTGGTGACCCCCATAGGATGAGGGTGACGAGGGGGGGGTGGCAAAGTTGGGGGTGATGGGGGTGGGCGATGGTGGGGGGGGGGTGGTCACACGGTGGGGTTACAGAAAGGTGCGGGGGGGACACAGAGAGCAGGAGGGAAGGGGGGGTCAAAAGTCGCTGAGGGGGGGTCAACAACCCCAGGGTGAGATGGGGAGCAATGGATATGGGGGGGGGGGGGGGGCATATAATAGGGGGGACGCGTGGTGGGGGGGGGCTGGGATGGGACAGCTGGGGACAGCACGTGTGGCAGGGGGACATGGGGGGACATTAGGGGAAATGGGGGGGCAGCAACTGGGGTGACATTAGGGGGGTAGGGGGGGTGTGGTGAGGGGGGGCGATATGGGGGGGCGACCTAAGGGGGTGATAAGGAGGGGTGCTGCCACATGGGGGGGGGGGACACGGGGACACGTTGGGGTCATCGCCCCTTAGTGACCCCCCCCCGACCTCCCGGGTGACCCCCGGAACCCCCCGAGCGCAGCGCTGACGTCACGCGTTTTTTTGTGGCTCCGCCCACCGTGACGCGCTCCCGCGCTTTGACCATATAAGGGCACACGCGGCGCTCAAACCACGCCCACATCCAGCGAAAGCCACGCCCACCCACCCGCTCTGACCACGCCTCTCCGCCCCCGCCCTGCCCGGGGCAGCGACCATGGGGGGGGGGGGGGGGGGGGGAGAAAATGGGGCGGCCCTACAGAGCCGGGGGGGCTGGGGGGGGGCAAGAGAATATGGGGAGGGACAGAGGGAGAGGATGGGGGGCTGAATGGGGGGGGGGCAACAGGGATGGGGGGTTCTGGTAGTGGGGAGAATGGGGAGGGGGGATGGGGGGGGCAATGGGGTGTAAGAGTGACAGGATGGGGGGTGATGGGGGGGGTAATGGGGAGTGGGTGAAGGGGATGGAGGGGACCAAGGGGGGGGGGGGTAATGGGGGTTAATAGAGTGCGATGGGGTGATGGGGGGGGTAATGGGGATGGGGGGGTAATAGAGTGCAATGGGGTTGGGGGGGCTGATATGGGGGGAGTGGGGATGTGGGGGGGGGGGGGGGGTAGGAATGATGGGGGAAGGGGGGGGTCTGAGGATGGAAAGTACCAGGAGGGGGTGATGGGGAAGGGGGGGGGGCCAGGCCCCGGTGTGTTATGGGCTGGGGGACACATGGGGTGGACGGGGGGGGGAGCACAGTGCCAGCTCTGCCATCACATCTCTTTATTCCACCCCCCCCCCCCAACCCCACAGAGGGGACCTTGCAGGGAGGGGTCACCCCCCCCCCCATCCCTAAAGCACCGAGTGGGGGGGGGGGGGACGATGACAACGATGGGGGGGACAACACCAACCCCCCCCCCCCCCATCCTTTAGAGCCCTATGGGGTTCTCAGAGCAGAGTGGCCAACTCCCAGCGCTCACCGCAGCCCCCCCGGCCCCCCCCAGGCCGCTGCCTCCTCCGTTGCTGCGCCCCCTCCCCGTGCTGGGGGGGTCCCCCCATTGCCACCAACGCCTCCGCAGCCACCGAAGTCACCGGCGTGGAACCGGGCTCTGCAGGGAGAGCAGCATGTTTTGACCCCCCCCGCCCCATCCCTTCCTTTCCCCCCAACAGGAGGATTTATGGGGACCCAACGGCGTCCCCGTGGTTGGGGACAAACTCACTTTGATGCTCCAGGTCCCGCAGGGTGATGGTGGAGAGGGGCTGGGGGGGCTCTGCGGGGCGGTACAGCTGCAGGGCGGCCAGCAGGTCGGTGGCCAATGTCACCTCCGTGTCCCATTCGTAGCTCTCGTCCACAGATGTGTCCCTCCTGTGGGGACAGACATGAAGGAGGGGGCACCTCCTGGTCCCCGTCCCCATCTGCCACCATTGTCCCCATCCTCCGTGCCCAAGCATGGCCGTGGTCCCCATGTCCAAGCGCCACCACCATCCCCACTGTCCCCATCCCCACGCGTCACCATGTCCCCGATGTCACCACTGACCCCCCCCCATCCCCCAAAGTCCCACCATCATCCCCACTGTCCCCACCTCTATGCCCAAGTGTCACCACGGCCGCCCGTGCCACCATCATCCCCCTTATCTCTGTCCCCATTCCCAAGTGTCACCATGTCCCCCTGTCCCCAAGTGCCGCCATCACCCCGTGTCACCATCATTCCCAAGTGTCAGCACTGTCCCCATCCTGTCCCCAAACGTCACCATTCATTCCCAATGCCCCAACCCCATGCCCAGGTGTCACCACGTCCCCGTCCCCATGCTCAGTACCCATTGGCAGCCCCTTGTCCTTGTCCCCACTCCCAAATGCCACCGTCATCCCCTTGTCTCCAAGCTCAACTGTCACTGCTGACCCCATCCCAAGCGCCACCATCATTCCCACTGCCCCAACCCCCAAGTGCCACCATCACCCCTTGTCACCATCATTCCCGTCCCCAAGTGTCACCGCTGTTCCCATCCCACCCCCAGACGTCACCACGTCCCCCTGTCCCCAAACGCCACCATCACCCCCCCGTTGTCCCCATCCTCACCTTTTCCCCCCCACGTTGGGGACCGGCTCGGTGCCCACCTTCCAGCTGCCCCCATCCCCAGGGGGGGTTCCAGGGCCGGGCCCCCCCAGGGATGCTGTGAGCGAGGGGGGCCTCAGGAAGGATGCGCTGCCGCGGCCGCTGCTTTGGCTGGTCAGGCTGCCCCGGGGCAGCTTCTCAGGGGGGGGCACCTCCCTACTTTCAGTCTTATCCACGGGGGGGGCACGGCGGGTCGGTTCCGGGGGGGTCGGCCATACAGGGGGGCCGGGCAGCGAGGCCTTAATGGGACCCAGTGGCACCTTGGGGGGCTGCAGGAGGGTGGGGGCCGGGGGGAGCTTGGCACATGGATCCGCGCAGTCCTGCCCCCCCCTCGGGCTGCTGCTGGGGGGGCGCGGGGGGCTGCTGAGGTTCCTCGGGGGGGGGCCAGTCCCCATCCACGCACATCTCCTTGAAGAAGGGCAGGCTGAGGTACTGCAGGATGCTGCTTTGGGGCGGGGGGGACGCGGTCCGCTGCGGGGTGTCGGAGTCCGGGGGGCTGCCCTGGGGGGGCAACGAGTCCCAACGGGCGCTGGGGGGGTCGGGGCTGTAAGGCAGAGTGGCAGGAGAGGCCACAGGGCTGACGTCGAGGATGCACAGAGCGGCGCCTTCATCCACGGGGCTGCTGCTGCCGTATCCAAAATATCGACCCCGCCGGCGGCCGGACGGCACTGGGGGGTTTCCGGGGGGGCGAGGGCGTAACGCCACCTCCTTGTGCCAAATGGGCTCCGTTTCTTGGAGACGTGCACAGGGGGGGTCCTGCTGGGGGGGCGGCTTTTCGGTGCTCTCCACCACGAAGCGGCCGTCGGGGCCACGGCGGATGCGCTCCAGCGGGACGTGCTCCCCAACGTGGCTCTCATACAGGGCGTAGCCGGCACCCGACCCCCCCGCGATGCTCAGCCCCAGGCTGGTGCCGGCCTTCTCGCCCCACAGCAGAGCCCGGCGCAGGCTGGGGCACGGGGAGGGCTGCAGCTTTAGCTTGGCCGTGCAGGTTGGGCTATCAGAGGTGTGAGAAGGGCTGGAAGGAGAAGAGAACGGCTGCGGTTGCAGCATGCGATGCCTCCCCGTGAACTGGCAGGGGTTCCAATGGCTGCTGAGCGCCGTCTGCTTTTCTTTCAACCCAAACCCCGAAAAGCAGAAAGCGGAGCATCCACAGGTGCCACCCCGAGCCCAATTCCCCACCCCAAACCCAGCGACGACGTGGGGAGAGAGCGGTGAGATGTGGGGCACGACTTACTGCGCGGCTGGGAGCTTCTTGCGGGGGGAGAAGACAAGCGGTGGATCTGGAGGCCATGAGAACACAACGGGGGGGACGAGAGGCGGCGATGAGATGGCAGCGGTGCACGCACAGCCCACGGACCCCCCCCCCCCCCCCCTCCCCACACCTCCGTGGGCTTCGTTACCTCGCTGCCGTTTGCGGATGCGCGCGGCGCGCCGTCGGTTCATGATGC